GTGATGGGCAGGCGAGCGGGCCGGCGCCCGTGGACCTGGCGGCCCTCTCGGCGGCGCCAGCGCAGCATGCGCAGCACGCCTGGTGCAGTGAGCAGGCCTCCCGGCCCGCCGCGCAGCCAGCCGGCAGGGACCTGCAGCCTGGCAGCACCAGCGCGCCGCCGCCGCACCTGCCCCTCGGGCCGCGGCTCGGGCAGCAGGTCCAGGCCGGCGGGGCGCGGCAGGCCGCGCTGCATCACGTTGGAGCGCTTGCGCAGCTCGGCCAGCCTCGCCGCCTCCGCCGCCGCCTTCTTGCGCGCCTCTCGGTCCGCGGCGTCCTCCTCAAACCCGTCGCCAGCCCCCTCATCCTCTGCGGCAGCGGTCGGCGGGGCGCGAGGCAGGCAGGAGGGGTGAGCGGCTGTTCCCAGGCAGCAGCGCAGCAGCAGGGCAGCAGCCCCCGCCAGGCGCGCCAGGCAAGGCGGCTGAGGGTCAAGGCAGGCCCAGCAACCAGCCTGCCCCAGTCCCCGCAGTCGCAGCCCAGCCCAGCCCAGCCGCCGGCCACACAGCCCCACGGCGGCGGCGCCACGATGCGGCGCCATGCGGGCGGCGGCAGCGGCAGCGGCGGCAGCAGCAGGGCGGCGGTGGCCGGGCACCCACCCGGAAGCTCCGGTACCACAATCTGGTACTCGTTGCGCGGCGCCGGCAGCTGGCTGAGCCCCGCCCGCAGCTCGTTGCGCTGCAGCGCCAGCCGCGCCGCCTCCTCCCGCTTGGTGGTGGCGGCAAAGGAGTCGGTTTCGTTGAGGCCCAGGGCGTCGCGCATGGGGGTGGGCGTGGCGCCGGGGGGCAGCGCGCCACCGCGGCCGGGAGTGGCGCTGGCGAGCAGCGGAGTGGCGGAGATGCCGGCCACCGTGCGGCCGCCGGCCGGCGCGCCGCCGCCGCCGCCGCCGCCGCCGCCGCCGCGCCCCGGCGTGCCGCCCAGGAGCGAGGGCGTGGCGGAGATGCCCGCGGCCGAGGGCCCGCCGTGCACCGAGGGCGTGGCGCCCGCCGCGGCGGCCGCGGCGGCCGCCAGCGGGTTAGGCGTGGCAGCGGGGGTGGCCCGCGGCGTGACCCCCGCAAAGTCCGAGGGGTGCAGCTCTGGGTTGTCGCCGCCCAGCAGCGGCGTCTGCCCCGTCTGCAGCAGTCGCAGGTTCTGGGCCTCATTCATGATGCGGTTGCCGCCGCCCGCGGCCGGCGTGCGCGCGGGCGTGCGCATGGGCGTGGCGAAGCGCGCGGGGGTGGCGTAGTCGCCCAGCAGCTGCCGCGTGGCCGCGCTGCCGCCCTCTGCAGGCACGCGGACCGGGGGGGCGGGTGGGAGCCGGCATGGGGATCTGCTGCGCAGGGAAACGCCGAGAGCTGGCGGCCGCCGCCTTCTGCTTGCAAAGCTGGCTCGGGTCGATGCAGGCGGGCCTGATCACCGCAAACAAGCCCCAGGCCATGCAAAGCAGCCGGCCCCACGCCACACCACACCACCACACCACCACCCACCCCACCCACCCCACCCCGCCTCACCCGCCAGGTCTGTGTCCATGGCCACCGCATGCTCCCCCGCCCGCGCCAGCTGCTCCAGCTCCGCGTCGCTGATCTGGGGGGCAGGCAGCATCATCTTGCCGCGCCGCGACTGCTGCGCCGCCTCGTTGGCCTCCAGCGCGCGCTTCACCATGCCGGGCGCGTTCTGGCGCTCGGCAATCTTGTGGCGCGCCGCGTCCTGCTTCACCAGCGCCGCCTCGATGTCCTGAGGTGCAGGGGCGCGGGGTGGCCAGGGGGTGGGTGGGCCAGGGCCAGCAGCACGTGGGCGGCGGCAGCCGCGGTAGGGCAAAGAGGGCCAGCCGCGCCGGCATGGGAGAGAATGAGCAGGGAAGGGCCGCGTGCCCTTTCTCATGCTGCCTCGTGCAACTGCGCCCCGCCCTGCCCGTCTCCCCTTGACCGTCACCCCATGCCTTGCCCAGCCCCTGGCGCTTCCGGACATTGCGCTCGATCTATGCCTTGCCCAGCCCCTGCGCAGCCCACGGCCAGCCGCAGCGCAGGCCCGGGCGCTCACCCGCCGCTTCTTGCCCTCCAGCTCGTCGATGGTGACGGGCCTGAACTCCTCCCGCATCTCCTTGGTGGCCTGCACCTCGTCTGCAGCAGGAGGACAGCAGGACGGGTGGCGGCGCACGGGCCGGTCAGGGTACCGTCACAGGCTGGCTGGCAGCGGGCGCGCGCAGGCGCTCACTCGGTGCCGCAGGCGAGGCTGGCGCTCACACACACCAGCCTGTGGCCCGGCGCCCCCACAACGAGCCAGCCGGCCGGCCCAGCCAGCAGCCGGCCGCCCCTCACCCTGGGTGTCGTAGAAGCCGGCGGTGGGCTTGACCTCAAACGGCACCTCCTTGCCGTAGTCGATGCCGCGGGAGCGGCGCGTGCGCTCCCGCATCTCAATGCCCGCCGCCTGCGCAGCGGGAGGAGGAGCGGGGGCAGGAGCGCGGCTGGCGAGAGTGAGGGGAGGGTGGGGGTCCCTGGCCGCCAGCCGGCGGGCGCCAGGCAGGCAGCCATCCTCAACTGAGTTGAGCCAGCAGCTACAGCAGCTGCTTGGCTCGACCATGCAGCAACCAGGCCAGCCGCGACGCGCCGCCATCCCAGCCCCTCAAGGCAATCCGCCACAAAGCACCGCGGCACCTTACCCCCACCCACACACAGCACCCCACACAGCATCGCACCTTGAGCTCCCGCTTCTTCTGCATGGAGGCCAGCCTCCTGGCCTCCTCCAGCTGCTTCTCCCGCGCCTTGCGCTTGGCCTTCTTGCCCCGCGTGTTGGCCATGCGCGCCCGCGCCTCGCTCAACATCTCCTTCTCATCCTCATCCATGTCTGCGGCAGGCGCGCAGGCAGGCAGGCAGGCAGGCAGGCGGGCGGGCGGGCGGTTGGTGGGGAGCACTGGCGAGATGTCACACCAGAGCCGCCATGCACCGGATGGCCCGGGCGAGCGAGAAATGAGAGCACACAACAGCGACGCCGGCGGCGGAGCGGGAGAAGGAGAGGCTGAGGCACAGTGGTGCTGCCGTGCGTGCGGCAGCGGGGCGGCTGGCACGCACCCACGGGGTCAGGGCGAGCGGGCTTGGACTCTGGGTTGGGGTCGATCTCTCCCGGGCGCAGGCGCCGCGGGTCGTCCATCCCTTCATACTTCTCCTTGCCCGCAGCCATGTCGCTGCAGGGCAGGGGCAGGGGCAGCGCAGCACAGCAGGGCAGGGGCAGGGCGGGTGGATGATGAGGCGGGTGGTGGCGGCTGCCAGCGGGGCGATGCCAGGACCGCGCCAGGCTCTGTGCAGGACTGCTGCCGCTGGGACCCCACACACGGCAAGCACCCTCCCCCAGCTGCCCCCCATGCCCTGCTGGGGCTCACAGCAGCTTCTCGTAACGGTCCAGGCACCTGCACGAGGTGGGGCAAGGGCAAGGTGAGCGCTCCTTGCGGGCAGAAGCGGGATCAAGGTGGTCTGCCGTGCAGGGCGCCTCGCTGCCCCTGCTGTGTGCGGAGCCGCCCAAGCCCCGCCGCTGAGGGCAAGAAGCGGGGCGGCGGCGGGTGGTGCTCACTGCGCGGGTGTGCGGCCCACGATGGGCGCGATGGTGCGCCACTGGGTGGGCATCAGCTTGGCCAGGTGCAGCAGCTTCTCGTCCTCCTCCCGCGTCCACTCCGTCTTCTTGATGGCAGGATCCAGCCACTCATACCACCGCGCCTTGCACTGCTTGGCCGACTTGCGGACCAGCAGGGAGCTGATGCGGGCCCACTGGTTGAGGCCATACCTGCGTGGGGTGGGAGGAGGGAGGGCACGGGCAGGCGGGCGAGGAGGGCGGGGCGTGAGCGGGCTCCGAGCCGCAGGCGGCCGGCCGACCGCGGAGGCTGGCGCGGCGGCAGCAAACGAAGTGCTGCTAGCGGGTTTTGCACACGGCTCACTTCATCACCGCGGCCTTGAGGATCTCATCTTCGGTGTTCTGCACTCGAAGCAGAGAGAGCAGCAGCAGGAGGCACATCACATACCAGTAGAGGGCAGAAGAGGGGCACGGCAGCGGCAGGCAGGCTGATGGGCAGGCAGAGAGCCTCCCAAATACGCACCTTCCAAACACCGCCCTTGATAAGGACTGCTCGGAGGGCCAGGTAGCGGTGCAGGGGAAAGGCAACACACAGAGGAAGCCGTCAGAGCGAAAATCACAGCGGCGGCGGCGGAGTCTACAAGCAGGCGAGCGGTGGGACAAGTGCCGCCACGGCGCCGCCGCCGGCCCCACGGCGGGCTGCACGGCACGGTGTTCCTCTCGTGCAGCGTGTACAGCCCGGCCCAGCGAGGAGGCAGCGAGGGTGATGGGCTGCCGCGCTGGGAGGGCTGCCTGGCCCTGCTGGCGAGTATGAAAGCTGTATTGCATGCTGTAACAGGCAGCAGCAGCGTCGCTCACTCCTCATGGCGGCAAGTGCGGCAGATGGTGCCCCACGGGGCTAGGCGGGCGCCTCCCTGCCTGCTGCTGTAAGTAGATCGTTGGAACGTTCACGGAACAGTGCGCAGAGGCTGTTTGGGAGTGAGAGGGCAGCGCGCCAGGTCAGCGTGTGCCAGCTGTGCCGTGCCGGGCTGCAGAGGCAGAGGCACCCCCCAGCGGCCCCATGTGACCGACACTTGCGCTCCACCGATTCACGTTTGTTGTCGAGTCTGCAGCATGCCCCGATGACTCCCCAAGTTTGCGCGATCACTGTGGTCCATTCTGTATGAACGAACAGGGTGGGACGGGGCTCGCCATGCCGGCCAGGCACAGGAGTCCATCGCCGACAAGGGGAGACAAGCAGGACGGTAGAGCAGGGTTTTCCATACCCTCTGGACCTGGCCCTGGCGAGCAGGGCGGCCAGCAATTGGGCAGAATTGGCGAAGAGGGGGCAGCAGGAGCTGGGTGCGGCAACCAGGATCAGGCCGACAGCGAGCACCGCGCGCCGCCCGCCGTGCCTGCCGCCGCTCCCGCCAGCCCGCGAGGCGTGTACCACAGGAACAGCAGCGAGTGGCGGGGCGCGGTGGCAGCCGCCGCCGTGGCGGCCGCTGCCGCTGTGGATGGCGACCCTGCGGCTGCATCTGCAGCGTTCCAGGTGCTGGGCAGCAGCCACCCGCCCACGCTGAGCCAGCTGCGCTCGCTGTCCAGCAAGGCGCGCCGCCCTGAGGTGTGGGGCTGGCTGCGCCCAGCCCCCGGCACCAAGCTGCCCTTTGTGCTGCTGCAAGGCCGGGGCGTGGCGCTGGGGAGGGGCAGGGATGTGTACCTGGAGCGCCTGCCGCAGCTGGCGGCTGCCCTGTCCCGTACCGCCTCGGCGCACGGCTCCACCTCGGTCGCGTTTGGCGGCGCCTTCAGCGGCAGCCTGGCGTCTGGCGGCCTGGCTGGCTGCCCACCAGACGGCGCCAGCCCCTTTGCAGCCGTGGGCGCCAGCCCCAGCGGGCACAGCGGTGCGGGCGGGGCCAGGGAGGGCGGCGGCGGCGGCAGGGACGCCGGCAGCCCTCGGGACAAGGGCAGCCCCACAGACGGCAGCAGCTTTGTGGAGGTGCCAGACGGGCGGGTCAGCCGGCTGCATGCCTGGGTGAAGTGGGACTCCAAGCGGCAGGAGGCGGTACTGGAGGTGGGCTGGGGGACAAGTGCTGCCTGCTGCGCGCTGCGCTGGGCTGGAAAGCGGCGCCACGGTGCCACCCCTTTTTCGCTGGCCGTCTGCCTGCCTGTCGGTGTCCCTGCTGCTCCCTGCCTGCATGTGCCGTCCCCACCGCCTTGTCCCGCACCCGTGCGTGCCGCAGGACCTTTCCAGCAACGGCACCTTCCGCAACGGCGAGCGGCTCGGGCGGGGGCGCAGCATGGCGCTGGCCGACGGCGACCGCGTCTCCCTGGTGCTGTCGGTGGCCCCGCTCAGCGAGCAGGCATTCATCTTCCACATAGGTGAAGTTCCACAGAGGCGGGGGTGGTGGTGGCGGCTCAGTGCGGCATTGGTGTGGCATGGTGCGGCAGGTTGGTGGGTGAAGGTGCTCTGAGCTGGTGGGTGACGGGTATGGAAGGGGAGACCCTCCCTTCATCGCCCCTCCCTGCCTCCCCGCGTGCCCGCAGGCGACCCTCGCGGCATGGAGGGCGAGGCCGCGGCAGAGTGGGCTGCCGAGTCCGCCATACTGCTGCTGCAGCAGGCCCTGCAGGCCGCGCCGGCGAGCGCCGGCGAGGGCGCCGCTGGCGGCGCCGGGACGGGCTCTGCTGCCGCCAGCTCGGAGCTTGGCTTTGGCGGGTAAGCGGGAGGGGCACCGACGGCTACAGGCTGGCCTGTCTGTTGCCTTGTTGCAGGCCCCTGCCAGTCGCACCAGTTTCAGAGAGCAGCATGGACCCTCTCCTTCCACCCACCCACGCCTGCCTCTGCCCTCGCGCCCTTGCAGGCGCCCCGGCAGCGGGCTCAGCCAGAGCAGCAGCGGCGGCAACAGCGGCAGCGGGGTGGCGGCGGCCGCGGCAGCCACCGCCGCCGCGCGCCACCTGGCGCGCTCCACGACAAGCCAGTACTCCACACCACAGGCCATCACACTTGAGGACCTGCAATGCCAGATCTGCCTGTGCACCCTGCGAGCGTGTGTGGCGCTGGAGCCGTGCGGTACGCCGCTGTCCTGCTGTGCCCGCTGCGCCGGCTGCGTTCCCAACTGGCCAGCGGATGGCTGGCTGCCTGTGCATCCCTTGTTGCCGCGACCTGCTCATAGCCGTGTTCCCTCGCGTGCCTCGCGGCCTGCGCGCAGGCCACAACTTCTGCGCCGCCTGCCTCTCCCACCACCTGGCGGCGCTGCTGGCGGGCGGCCAGCCGCTGTCCTGCCCCCTCAGGTGCGCGCTGGCTGGCCCCTGCCCGCCAGTTTGCACGCCGGTTTGCACGCCGGTTTGCCCGCCAGACTGCCCGCCAGTTTGCCGCAGGTTGTGCACGCCACGGTGCAGCGCCCTGCATCACCCCCCGTCCGCCATGCCAGCTGCCTGCTGCCTGCTGCCACCTTTGCGCTGCCTGCTGCCAGCTCCCCCCAGCCAACAAACCGACCCTCCCAGCCCGGCCGCCCTCTGTCCTGCAGGTGCTCCCCGCCGGAGCGAGTGGTGATCAACTCGGCGGTGCGCCAGCTGCTGTCTGCCGGCAGCTGCGCCCTGCGCACCCCCGCCACCTCCCTGCGCCAGCTGCGCCACCAGCACTCCCTGCAGCAGCACGGCAGCGTGCTGGAGCCGGTGACCGAGGGCCAGGCCAGCTGCAGCAGCAGCGGCACCGCCGGCGGCAGCCTGCCTGGCCTGCCCCCCGGTTCACGCATGCCCAGCTTCCTCTCCGCCTCATCGGCCCCCTCCACCGCCGGCAGCCAAGGCCTGCTCCCGCTGCCCCACCACGCCCGCCACCACGCCCCAGGCGAGGAGGCCGAGGCCGCGGCGGGGGCGGGCGCGGTTCCCGCGCCGCCAGCGACGGCGGGGCGAGCAGCCGCGCGTCTGGCGCCACCTCCCCCGAAGGCTATCGCCACGTGGCGCTCCAGTTTGCCTCCCCCAGCAGCGGCAGCCTGCCCTCCCCGCCTCCCTCACCCTTTGAGTCCCTGGCCTCCTACACCGCCTTCTCCAGCCTCCAGAGCGGGGAGCTGGATGCCGGCGCGCAGGCGGCGGCGCTGCCCGGCGCGCCCACGCTGCCCGCGCTGCGCCCGCTGGGCGCCGCCCAGCCCTCCGCCAGCGGCGCGCTGGCCAGCGGCGCGTTCAGGGGGGCCACCGCGCTGCCAGACGCGCCCACCATGCCCGCAGAGCTGCCGCTGGCGCGCCGCCAGGCGTCCTCGGCGAGCGGCGCCCTGGTCAGCGGCGCGCTTGGGAGCCCCGCCGCGCCGCCGGCCGCGCCCGCCCAGCCCGCCGTCGGCCCGCTGGAGCAGCTCAGCGGCTCCGCCGGCTCCGCCCCAGGCCCCGCTGACTCGCTCCCCACCGACCAGCGCAGCCCCGCCTGCGAGCAGCAGCAGCAACAGGCACCGGCCGCAGAGGCAGGCCGCAGCGGAGGCGGCGCGGGGCCGGCGGCCGCAGAGGCAGGCGGCGGCGGAGGAAGCGCAGGGGAGGCGCCAGCCAGCGGTTTTGCCGGAGCAGCCCTCGGCTCGGCCCTGGGGTCGGCGGCCAGCGAGGGGGAGGCCGACCTGGCCATGCACCCGCTGTGCCCGCTGCACGACTCGGTGCTGCCTCTGGATACTGCCAGCCTGAAGAGCCGGCAGCTCGCCCACAGCCTGGGCCTGCTGCGCGGCGTGCGGGACGACGAGGGTGAGGGCAGGGCGCCCAGCCCACCCGCCAGCTGTGCCAGCCTCGCAATTGCCTGCTGCGCTGCGCTTGCCTTTGCTGCGAGCCAACCTGCTCCCCATCACGCCTCGCCGCTCCCCCAGCCCTGGGCCTCCACTGCTTCCGCCCTGCAAAGTCGTGGCCTGCCCGCCCTTTACACTGCATACAGATGCTGCCCGCACACGCCCGCCCGGTCACCCGTACCCCGCTGTGCCTCTTCCTCTCCCCACAGATGCCGCCATGTCCCACCTGGAGGCGATCGCCCGGCTGGCGTGGAGCGACGAGGCGGCGCGGCAGGAGCTGGGGCAGCTGGAAGGGGTGCAGGCCATAGTGCGCTGCATGCAGCAGGTGGGCGCGGCAGCTGGCCTGTGGCGCTGGCCGCACCCCCTGCTGGCTCATTGGCTGTCTGGCCCGACCCCGCGCCTGGCCTGTTCCTTGCCTGGCCCTGGCCTGACCTGGCCTGCGCTGAATGCCTGCCCGCCGCTCCACCCAACCCCGCCTGCAGCACCTGGGCAGCGAGGGGGTGGCGTGCAACGGGTGCCTGGCGCTGATGGCGCTGGTGCGGGGGGAGGGGGAGGCCTCGGACGCAAACCGCCTGCGCCTGGCCGACTGCGATGGAGTGCAAGTCATCGCAGAGGGTGAGCCTGCCCATGCTGCATGGCACATGCCCTGCCACCAGCGTAACGCCGCACTGCTGCGACAGGCAGCAGCTGCTCCTGTGGCCGCTGCCTGTGCCGCTCGATGTTGGGCGCGGCGCCTGCTGCCGCGTGACCTGCACGCTGCGCCCGCCTGGCTGCAGGCATGTATGCCCACATGGACACGCCCATGGTGCAGCTGTCTGCGCTGCTGTGCCTGGTGCCGCTGGCCCTGGAGAGTACCTACCTCCAGGTGCAGCAGTACCTACCTTCAGGGCAGCTTCTTGGGAGGTAGCTCGCTGGCAGGCTGGCAGCACCGGGCAGCGCCAGGTTGGCATGGCCGGAACCGGTGGCAGCAGGGTGAGGGTACCCTCACCGCTCTCGCTGCTCCCTCCCCACCCCTCTACCGCCTGCAGGTGCTGGTCGCACGCTGCTGCCTGCCCGCCATCCTGGCCGCCATGCAGCGGCACCTGGGGGAGGTGGAGGTGGTGAGCAAGGCAATGATCACGCTGGGTGTGCTGGACCAGGTGAGCCTGCACCGCACGCCAGCCAGCCAACAGCCGCGCATGCTGGCGTCCCGCCTACTCGCCCCCGGGCCTTCATCCGCACGTGCTGTTGGGTGGCTTCCGCCCCTGCCTTCACCCCTCGCCTCCTGGATGCCCTCAACGCGCATGGGCACCGCAGGGAGACGAGGAGGCGCACGAGGTGATCCGGGAGACGATCATGGAGCGCACCCCCTTCCCCCAGATTGCCGTGCTGGTGCTGCGTGAGATGGGCAGGGACAGGTGGGAGCCGCGGCTGGCGCAAGCGTGGGAGCGCTGGGGCAGGCGGCGGGTTTGGTCGCTAGCAGGAGCCGGGGGGGGTGCCCTGAGCTTATGCTATGTTGTTGTTGCTTGGCGCTTTATTGTAAGTGGAGCTGCTTTCATGCCCACGCCGTGCGCACCCTCCTGTCACCCCTGCCGCTCCGCCGTCTCTGCCTGCAGCGAGGACGTGCTGTGGTCTGCGCTGTTTGCGCTGGCGGTGATTGCCCGCGACTGCAGCGCCAACTACATCGCCCACCTGCTGATCCTGGCCGCCGCGGGGGTGCTGCCCCCGCTGGAGGCGGCACTGGGCTCGTACCGGCAGGCAGTGGAGGAGCAGGTGCTTGGCGGGTGTGACATGGGGTGCCGCCTGGACCGCCGGCAAGGGCACGCCGTTTGCGCGGCAGCCGAAAGGTTCTGCTCATGGTCGCCGCGTGACTTGCAGCAGCCAGCGCCCTTTTCACCGGTGCCGTGCTGTGCATGCTGTGATGCAGGGCGGGGAGGCTGACGAGATGATCCTGCGGGCCGGCGACTTTCTGGTGGCTGTGCTGCACAAAGCCAAGCAGCTGCTGTGGATCCGGCGCACGCGCCGCCTGACTCGGGTGGCCATTGTCGGGCTGGTTGCCCTGGCCGCCTTCCGCTGGCTCCGCCACCGAGCCGGCCACCGCCACGGCGGCAGCGGCACCAAGTGAGAGATCGCGCCCGCCGCCTTCCCATTCCCTTCCATCGTGCTTTGAGAATACCACCAAGAGTTTCAACCATCCGATGCTGTTGGGCGGAGCCTTGCTGCTGTTTGTTCAAGCTGTCGATTTCCTTCCTTCCCCAAATTCCTGCTGCATTACCTACCCCTGTTGCTCCAAACTGCTGCTCTGCTCCACCGCTATGCCTGTCTGTGAATCTGACCCAGTGCATCCCAGCCCCTTTCCTTTCTCACATTCCCACATTGCGCTTCTTCTCCCCACATTTGCGCAATTGACATGCAAGTGATATGTTGAATCAGTTTGCCGCATGTTGGAAGGGGAGGGTTCTGCTCGAGGTGGGCTGGCCAGCATTGGCGGCGACAGAGATGGGATGCGGAGAAAGAGTATGGAATGGGAGTTGCGGAGACAGGCGACAGCGGAGGAAGAGCGGAGCAGCAGTTTAAATGCAGGAGTGTGGGCAGCAGACAATGCGTCGGAACGCTGCCATGTGACAAAAACAGGCCTCAAGTGGCAAAATCAAAAGGTGCGAGGTGCCGGAGCCGTGGTTCCTTCATGCAACTGGCATCGGGCCAACTGTGCAGCAGCCGCCGAGCGCCAGCAGTTCCAGGCCCCACCGGTGGCCAGGCATGGCGGTCAGAAGATCCACTTGATGAGCCGGTGCACCTTGGCCCAGAAGTAAACCAGGAAGAAGAGGCTGATGGCAAAGACCATGAGGTGGAGCATGTGGTTGGACTTGGTCTGCTGGTAGGCACGCCCCAGGCGCTTCATCGTCTTGCGCAGGCTCAGCCGCGCCTGCTCCACCGCCGTCTCTAGGCTGTCCATCACCTGCGCCGTCAGCCGGTTCTCCTCGCCAATGGCCTCTGACACCTGCAGGCAGGGAGCAGGGCGTAGCGTGCAGCTGTGTGGCAGTGTGAAGCAGGTGCGCTGCGCTGCGACGTCAAGCCCGCTGCCCCGCCCCCGCCGTCAACCGCAGCGGCACCAGCGGCGGCCCGTGTGCCTGGCCGGTCCCCTGCGTTGTCCACCTGCTTCAACCGGCCAACTGAGCTGCGCAGCTGGTCGATTTCGTCGTCCAGTTCCACCGTGCCGGACTCTATGTTGATTTGCAGCTGGTCGCTGTGCGCCCCTCCTGCCCCCCCGAACAGCGGCTGCCGGGCGCTGAGCCCTGGTCTGCAGGGGGCAGCGGGCAGCAGTGAGGACAGCCGCGACTATGTCTCGAAGCCTGCAGGCGCGCTGCCTGCAGCTACTCACCTACTGGCGTAGCCACCATGGTGCCGCTGGCTCATCGCTGCAACGCGAGCAGCTGGCGAATGAGGCACTCTGCAGAAGCAGTTCTCTCTATAGAGTTGCGCGGCTTTGGGACACGAGGGAACAAGCCACCAACTGTAGTGGAGCCACAGGCACATGAATTGCTCTGCAGGCTGCTCATGATGCTGGCGGCCGCTGCTGACGGGGCGTCGTGTGACAGGCAGAGCGCCGCTTTGCATCAGGTTGTGGTGTGTAGTTTCAAATTAGTTATGAGTATGTGTATCTCGTGTATTATGCATTCTGGGTTGCAGCACATGCAAGTGCAGGCTCGTGCACATCTGCCGATGCCCAACCGAACCCCACCGCGCTCACGTGACGGCCCTGCACCCAACCCGCACCGCTCCAGAGATTAAAACACGCTGTTCATCATAGCCAGCACTCCCGTCCTCCCTCAGCATCTGCAGTGTTGAATGGCCAATCAGAGATCCCCTGGTTACAGTCGGCAACTTTCTCCGCCCGCCGGCGCCGGCGCCGCTCGTGCTGGCTGACCGCGCTGGCATTGGCCATTCCCCGACTAGCCAGTGCTGCCACGAACATTCAATTGACTTGCGGCCAGGCAGAGCGGCCTGCAGGGCACCCGCAGGCAGGTTTTGGTGCAGGCACTGGCAACTCTGCGGCGCCAGGAAGCCACCTTGGTCAACAGTCGCATGAGCGCCAAACGGGGCCCAGTTTTCTCGATCGCAATGCAATTGTAGGCTTCGGCATTCTTACAGCCGCTGTGTGGCTTACAGCTGTGCCTCCTGCGTTTCGTAGCCTTGCGCGCCGACCGGCGCGCGATGGGCAGCGGCGAACGCAGCAAGCGGCATGCGGTAGGCATGGTGGGGGAAGGCGCAAGCCCCGCGGGCTTGCTGGGCCGGGTTCCGAGAGGGAGGCAGAAAGGCCACACCCGCCTACCGCCTGCTACCGCCGCTTGCCCTCTGCTTGCAGTGCGCTGCCAAGCTAGACACACTGGAGCTGGGGGAGGGAGAGTGCCATGATGTGGCCGACCAGTGGACCATCCCCGCAGGCGTTGCAGACAACGTATGTGCCTGCCCGGCCGTTGCTCTTTGCCGCCGCCGCCCAATGTTTCCGCCCCCGTTTCGCTGCTGGTGCCTCACAGGAGACGCCTCCCTTGGGCGGTGTGCAGGAGATCCACTGCCACCACCGAAGCAGCGGTTGCGGCGTCAGCAGCGAGCACAAGTTGGGTGCCGTGGCAGTGAGCATCAGCGACAGGCGTGGCAGCAGGGCGCGGCCGGCAGGGCTCTGCGCCTTGCTGCTCGTGTGCGTGCTGCTGGGCGTAGGCCTGGCGCTCCCCCTGGCCCGCATTGTGCACTGCGCTGCCGGCTACAGGGCTGCAGTAGGTGCAGCTACCCTGGAGATGCATAGCGCGCTCAGTGGGCAGCAGCAGCATAAGTACTTGGCAGGATACGGGCTGCCGCACCCCTCGGCAGATGCAGATGTCTTCCTGTTTGTGGGCATCACCTCCAATGGCGGCTCCAAGGAGCGGCGGGACGCCATCAGGGAGGCCTGGGCCGATGAAGCTCAGGCCAGCGGCCAGGTGGGCGTTGACGGCTGCGGTGCCCGCACCCCCGCCAGGCCAGCAGCAACGTCTGCAATGTGGTGCCGCAGGCGAGCATCCCTCGTCCGGCTGCTCAGGCTGGGGCGGCCTGCTTCCTGCCCCCACGCCGGCTGGCTGCAGGTGGTCTGCAAGTTCATTGTGCCGGAAGACGAGCAGAACGCGGCCATGCTGGAGGAGCAGGCCCTGCATCATGACATTGTGTTTGCACCGTCGGCGGGGCCCAGCAGCACCAGCAGCAGCACCAGCAGCACCGTCCTGCGCCCGTCCACCTTCCAGGTGCGCAATAGTCAGCTGGTGGGCCGACGCACCTGCAAGAAGTGTACGGATCTTGTGCGCTTCAGGCATGTGGTCTGCTCAGGCAGCCAAACCAACCGACTGCAGCCCCGCCTCCCCTGCTGCAGCTCACCGGCTGGCTGCGGACTCTGGAGTATGCGGTGCTGCACGACCCAGGCGCCAGATTTGTTCTGAGGACGAGCGACGACGCCTTTGTCAACATGCCGCCCCTGCTGCGCACGCTGCATGCGCTGTGCCCCACCCCGGCCTGCGCCAACCAGAGCGTGCTGCTGGGCCAGCTCGGCTCCTGGAAGCACGGCAGCGCTGGAGGGACGGAGGCGCAGCTTCCGCAGGTGACAGCTGGCGGCAGCTACTTGCTCAGCGCTCTTCTGGTGCGCAGCCTGCTAGAATCGGTCCACCACCGCCTCGAGTCCTCCAGCCTTGACTTGATCGCTGCTGTAGATGAGGGCGCAAGCCTGGCTGCATGGCTGCCGCTGCAGCATCTGCGCCAGATCAACTGCAGCAGCCCCTGGCTATCTGACGCCCAGCTGCCCTGCGGGGAAGGGGCACGTGCTGCGGCTGTGTCATCAGCAGGAGGAGCAGCATTGTCTTCGGCACAGCCACAGCTGCGGCTGCTGCCTGCCATCGAGCGGCATCTGTGTGCCGGCGAGTCCTTGCTGCTCCTGGACAAGCTGGCCAGCGCCGCCTGCATGCGGCTGGTGGGGCAGCGAGCACAGTTCTGCCATGCCAACAACAACAAAGTGCCCTTCGTTTAATCTGTTTGCTGCGCCTGTCACTCTATCCACGCATTACTGACTCCCTCCCATCACTGTCCTCCTCTCTTTTCCCCCAATGCCCTTCTCCCATCACCCTCTTACTCCCCCATCACCCACTCTGTGATGCTGCTTCTGAGCAATTTGTCGCCAGCAAGGCGTTGTGAAGCTCAAACTGATGATTGCCTTATTTTCTTTTCTCATTCTTATCCGCAGACACAGCATGGTGGCCGCCATGCTGAACCTGCCGTGTGGGCGGACAGCAGCACCTGTGGTGCCCGCCCGCCTAACGCCATTCTGGGCAGCAGCCTATGTATTGTAGCCGCGGCTCATTGTTACAACATCGTCATGGCATGGAAACGTTTTACAATTGGCTCCTGCCTTCCACATGGTCACCGGCAGGAGGAAGCTTGGTGCATTTTTCGACGCTAACAGTTGGGGAGAGAAGGTGGGGTGCTGATAGGATATTCAAGCTCTGCAGTGCTTGCTCATCACGCGGAGTAGACCAGCGAGTTGGCCCGACCATCACTTCACTTGATGGTGTAAATCTTGTCGTTGCCAACGGCATCGATGGCCCACTGGATCTTTCTGATCTTGCCCTGCGAATGGGGGGGGGGGCTCGGGAGCAGCAGGGTGTTGGAGTCACACCGCCAGAATAGATGCAGCCGTGGCGCACACAATGCGAAGGGCAGCGTGGGGCAAAGGCAGCAGCAGCGGCACACGCCTGAATGTTGGTGTCAACCCACGCCGCGATCTGCGGAATGTCCTTGCCCTTCTGCAGCGTTGCAGCCATGGGGGTGCCAGCGTGGCAGGCACAATCAGCGGCACCCGAACGGCAAGCCTTCAGGATGCCAGCGTGGCAGCGCATGCCCGTGTGGCAGCAGCGCAGGGCCGATGGCCCACCCAGGCAGTCGTGCCGCTGCAATTGCCACCCTTCCCACAAGGAATGCCGCCATCCTCCACCCACTGCCGCCGCCCCACCTTGCAGTACTTGTAGAAGATGGGGTTCCAGCGGTACTTGTACTCGCCATTGGGGGTCCTCCGCTTGCTGCCCTCCCTCGCAGGCTGCGGCAGGGGCAGGCGCACGTGTCAGCGCGGCCTGTGGGGAATGGCAATGCTGCAGCGGCACGGTGCCCTCCCCTCCATCTGGTCCCTGCGCCCCCCCCCCCCCCTCCGCGCTCACCTCAAAGCAGGCCTGCACAGCCACAAAGTTGAAGTCCTTGAGGCAACCGGGGCCGATCATCTTGCGCCGCTTCAGATCAGCGTTCACCGCTTTCACTGCCTCCTTGTTGATCTTGGCGGCCACCCGGTCGGTCACGCTGCATATGTGGGGGGGAGCAGCGCTCCGCAGGGTCAGAGTCAGGGCAGGCTGTGAGCTTTTCGTCAAAACTTTTAGCTCTTTTTTGGCACCACTCACCGGCCGTTCTTGATGCCGAAAATGAAGGGGTCACCTGCACTTGGGAGCAGGGGCGCCCAGCTTGGGGTTGCCTCTCACAGCAGCAAGAGCGGCAAGGCTGCCGGGAGGCCGGGAAAGAGGGAAGGAGACAAGGGGGAACAGCCGGCCAGGGGCAGCGTCGCACCAGGGAAGCACACGCGGGGGTCAAAGGCGCTGGCCACGCAGGCCAGGCCCAGCAGCAGGGCTGCCAGCAGGGTGCGCCTCATGTCGGCGGGAAGGCGGCGCAACGACCGCAATGACCGGGCGCCAGAGTGGGTGGGGTGGCGTTGAGCGCTGGAGGCTCGGGGCGATATGCTTTAGCCCGAATACAATCTGCAGGCGCGAGAGGGGCCCGGTTCGTGAAAGACAGCCGCGTTCGGGGCCGGGTTTCAGCATATGCTTGCAGCGGATGACGCGTGGTGTGCCGATCGGCCCCCAGCGGGCACGCAATGCCCTTACCTGATTTCCTTTGCAGCAGAATGCGGGTCTCGTCAAGGGTGCAGACTGTAAAAGTGGATATCCTGGGGTCCGAACGCGTTCGGGGCAGTGTTTCTGGCCCTCGTGGCAGCGTTGGCGATGGGCTGGCGATGAGGACCGCTGTCGCATCCAAATTTCGCCAATCAACTGGCGATGGCACAGTGGGGGTTGGCGAATTGCGGGGGAACCACCCTTGCGCCTGGCGCGGCGCAGCGGACGCATGCGGTGCCGCCGTTGCTTTGTCGGCACTTGCCTCCCTTTATGGGGGACTGGGGGCGAAGCCCCCAGTAAGCTGGCGCTTTTTTAACACTATGGAATGAAGTTCCTGAGGAAATTTGGCCATTTTCCCTCAATATATTGGCGATGCCAGTCATGGGGGATGGCGACGGGCTGGCGACCATGTCCTGCCGCCTGCCCTCATTTCGCCAGCTCTGGCTGGCGATGGCCTTCGGCCAATCGCCAGCCAGAGCCGTTTTTTGCCCGATTTCGCCAGCATTTGGCGATTTCGCCAGCTTTCAGAAACACTGGTTCGGGGCACATTGGGGGGCACGTGGCAGATGAGGAGCCTGCCTCCTGGCGGGGGTCATGCATCCCCCACCCATCATGCATTTCAGGCTTCATCTCCCTCAAACCTCCACCATTTTCCCTCTCGTTTGTCGTGATCGACTCCGGGTAGCCCAAATGCCATTCTAGCGGGGCCTATGGGCCGCGACGAAGCGACCAACTCTGGTGGCAAAGGCAGCAGTCTCGGCGTGTCTGCCAAACGCCTGAAAGGCGGCACCAGCAAGTCCCAACACAAGCATGTTACAGCTCTACTGCAAAACTGGGACAGAGTCACCAAGGCGCATCCTGACCTGCGGGGCGTTCTGCTGTTACAGTCTGCATACTCCAACAGCAATGGATGGGCTAGAACGCACAATCTTGCCGGCATGGGCCCACTGCTGAAGGCTCTCTTGGTGGAGATAGTGGCATCCGCCGGCGGGCGGCGGGTGACGCCACGCATGGTTGCCGACATTGCGGAGGGGGCGACGGCGGAGAACTTGCAGTTCCTTTTGCGAGTTCTGGAGTTTTGTACAGCTGCCGAAGTCGTGGGGGGAAAGCATGTTGAGATGATGATGAATGCTGTCACGGGCTGCAAGCTCGACGCCTCGCCAGGTGCCC